TTTTGGGAAGAGGGAAGTAATTTTTAGCTTTGGGCCCTTCTGGGAAAATTAATTAGCTTAGGCCAAATGCTGCCTTGAAATTCACATATAGTTGGCACCAAGTAAGTGAGAGAGTCGTCTCCCGCCATGATCAGCTCGATGAGAGATTGTTGCTAACGAGAAGTTAAAATTTTAAGTTAAGAACACAAATCAGTACCACAGTAAACATTTTAAAAGGTCAAGTTGTATTAATCCCCCAGTACTGTTAATAGTCCCTTTTCCAATTCAGATCCAGCCCGGATGTGTTTGAGTCCCGTATGGAAAAAAGAAATGAAGTGAAAAAGCAGCCTGTGGGGCATTCCAAGCAAGGAGAATTTATCAGGTGCATGGAGGAAAAGGCAAGGCCAATTTTCTCTGTAATTCACGTATATTAAAGCTATAATGTCATTTATATAGGGTCAGCATAATGCTACAAACATACAGTGTTCCTTTTTGTAAGGAGCCCCAGAATTTCACTCCCTGGTGGCTAAAAATATTGTTCTGTATTCCAGTGTATTATTTTGCTATTTTTTAGGCTGTAAATTCCACGCTTGAGGTCTTAAATAAGTGTTTCATTAGTTCCAGATTAGTTTGGACAGATGGAGTGACATGATCTTGCGTTTATCATTTTGTAGTGAATGAAAGAAAGCTGTTCAATAATATTGGATCCAAAATGCATAATAGTTTGCTTTAATCCTTTCTGATCTTGAAATTCATAGTTCACATTGTTACTCATTTTCTTATTCTCCTAATCAATATTTTATTTCAATAAAATGCATTGTAGTAATCTCTAAGAATCTTAAATTTGAGCTCATACTCAGGAGGTCTTGTCAGCAGGCATGTTATGCGTGGCAGGGAGGGCAAATAAATGGTATTAAAGCATCAGCTCTAAAAACTAAAGAAGAATGTTTTCTTTTAGGCAGAAGACTCAGGCACAAAGACATCGAAGGGAGGTTTCACAAAAGATAAGGTAAAGGAAACAAACCTAAGTGTTAGGAGAGGACTTGCTGGCAAATCAAGGATGCATATTAACTTGTGTTGCTACCATCAGTGCTTCAGCTATGAGCTTCTTGAGATAAAACTAACGTTCCTTATGCTGCACTTGAGTATAAGATACTCCTTTACTCTTTGGATCGCATTCAAGTCTTAAAACTCCCTGCAGTCAGGTTTTTTATTATCCAGTCCTTTCTTTCTTGACATCCTGGAAGTTCCTACTAGTTAGGGGATCTGTACTGAATGCTGACAGTAAAAAATTGGAAGAGTTAAGCTGCCTGCCTTTACAGCATGTAAATATATTTCCAAAGAACAGCCAACAAAAGGACAAGAGAATGGTTTTATTCTTTCACATTCTTGTGTTTTGGCAAACTTTCTGTGTAAACCTGCCAACAGAGCATGTGTCTGAGATGGCTGAAGGGGAAAGGCTGCAGCTCCTCTTGCAGCTTCAGTAGAGATATGCAGAATTGGAGCAGAGTGTGTTCTGTGTCCTGACAGAATCTCTCCTATTCTGCCTCAGTGTGTAAATCCACTTAGCAGTGTGTTACTGCTTATGATTTATTAGTTTATTTGGCAATTCAGAGGACTAAGTCACATTGTAAATTGAATTAAGTTCCTCTAGCTTGATTTTGTTCTCTGTAATTGCATCCATTCATTCTGGATTCTCACTTGAATCAGAGAACTGTCATCATGCCAAATTCCTTATGCTTTCTCTTACAGACGCTTGATTCGATTCTCAATGTTGAGATGGTCAAAGAAAAATCAGCGGAGGAGATAAAACAGGTGATGGATTTAAATAGATGGATTTAAAGTTTACTCCACCTCTGTGCTCAATAGTTATCTGCCTATGAGGATGGAAATTTTACTTACACTGAAAAATAAAACATGGCCATGGATGTATCTTTATAAAAAGCACATTCCCATGCATATCAATAGTAGAAGATAAGCTCTTCTCCATATAGGTAAGTCTACGTAGGATGTACCCACTTGGTCAGATCTTGATCACTCAAAAACTGGCTCTGTTGTAATTCTTACTGTTGCCATTTAATGTGTAGCAGTTGAATTGGCATCAGCAAGCTCCTGTGAGGTTTGAAGCCAGGTAAAGGGAAACCCTAGCAGTAGCTCATGTGGATTATGCTACCTCTGTTCTGCAGGAATCAAAACAAAGCTTTTGCCGTCTTCAATCTTTGCTTGCATTATCTGTCGCTCAGGAGCCTCCTTATCCGTACTAAAGATTGTTAGGGTACGAAGGAGGTGGGTGGATCTGTTTGTTGGTTTGAAGAACAGCATGAATCAAGTTATTTTCCCTAATATCTGCTTGGCTTTGCGCCGTGTTCCTTTTCATCTAGTCACAAGTCACATCTGTTTCACGTTTCTGATGTAGCTTGAGTTGGATTTGGTATTTTGTTTCCTAATCAGACTCTGTGCCAAGAAACTTCATGTAGACATGATCATTTAAGAGGAGCAGCACATAGGAAGGAGCCTTCCGGCATGCCTTAGAGGGCAGAATTTGATAATTTGCAGAATTTGCTTTCCTGATAGCTTGAGAACATTATAGAAGTGGTTATGTGCTCTGCAGGGGATGAGGTCTGACCAGTTATAGCAGGGAGCGTATTTGATAACTCAAGAGTTTCCTTTGAGTTCCTCTCTTTCCGTTTCATTGATTAAACATTTTACTGACAATTCTCATTAGCTGTGTAGAACTGGGTAAGAGCAACTGAAAGGGTCCTGGGCTCTGGGCTTTTACTGGTACTTGTCCATTTATGAAGGGCTTTGTCTGAGCTTTTATGTTGGTATTGCCCTCCTGCTGTGGTGAACAAAAACACTGTGAACGTAGAGAAGCATTATGCAAAGTCTTGTCTTCTATTGGAAATGTTTTGTTTGTTCTTTGTTAAAACAAAAAAAACCCCACAACTCAAACCCTCTAGAAATTATTAGTATGATTGTTGGAAAAAATGTAAGAAGCATTTCGGATAGCTAGTAAATCTTGAGACACCTCTGAGCCCACTGCCTATTTCTGTTATCTAGTTGAAATCTCTCATTTGATACAAGTACTCTGGAACCTTAGGAGTGTATTGCATTAATAGGAAAGTTAGGCTGGATTGAAAAATGACTTTTCAAAGTGCTTACAAAGGTTAGTTGACAAATGGAATTCTTTTTAAAGCATTTAATATTACTGCTAGATATGTGATTTTAACTGTAGCTCCTCTCTTTTGTTTCCTGCAGATTTGGAATCAGTATTTTTCTGCAAAAGATACAGTTTATGCTGTTATTCCTGTAAGTAGTTCCTCTGTGGTTTTGCACTTGAAAGGCTAATTTGCAAAACTTTTCTTTCTAACTGTGATTCTGTTTCTTTTAAAAGCACTCATTGAAGGAAAATGAGGTTTCAAGAACAAACTTTCTTTCCAGATTGAGTGATCTTATTGTCCCAAATAAAGGCTTTAGTTTCCAAAAACATGTATCCCTTTTTTTGTTCACTTAGATCAATCTCAATAAGCTAGTACTTTTTTTTCTGCACACTCGGCTTGAATTTCCAGGCATTTTTTAATTATGAGTATCCAATACTCTTCACAAGGCCCTAATATCTATTAAGATAACATTTGTATTTTCACATCATTTTTTCCCAGGGATGCTTGTTTCTTTCCCCTCTTCCCTGCAGCACAGGCTGCTAACTCAGGTTTAATATGGCAGTGTTAGAGCCCTTGGCTAATAACTTGCATGTGGCTAATCACTTACGACTTCCATACATTTAAAACTATTGGCAGCACTGTCTGTCATTGAGGTTGCATGGTGCTTCCTGTGATAAGATCGTATTTCTTATTCCTGATAACTTTACCAGATGTTAATTGTCATTAATCTGCATTAGGCTGAAAGAGTTTTTTTTCACTTTTGGAATTTCTTTTTATTCTTTGCTTCAGAGTCTCTGTGTGATTGTGATCTCTTAAATCTGTCTTTTCACAGCTGGGCATGAACTGTGTGTTCCTTGAGTTCTCGAAACCTCATTTAGATCTGGGGTCTGATTTGCAGTTGTACTTGGCCCTTTGAGCTGCAGTTGAAGTGATGGGAGGCTGTATTCTAAATGTATGAGGTGCTGTACGCTCTGAAAATGACAACGTGGGATTTGAAGTCAAGCAGCTTCGTGTTTCAGTTTTCCCAACATGTGGATGTTGTGAAAATAGTTTGAATTGCACATTGACTGTAGCAGAGGGCCAAAGGCAGGGACTCCAGTTAAGATGGTGTAGGTCGTTCATTAGTGGGGCTGGCACTGTTCTTTGGTGCACTGTTTTAGAGGAGCTTTGGAAGCTTTTAGGGCTTTAATGCAAACCAGATCCTAGGCACATTAGGAAGTAGTTTATGGTGTCATCGGGGGAAGAAACTATGCCTTTTGCCAGAAGTTTTTTGTTGGCTGGAAGAAAGGCCTCCCTTAATTCTTGAGTGCTCAAAAGCACACACAGAGGAATTTTGTATTGATGAACGGCATGTGTTTTCTTTCATGAACACCTTAGAATGGATATTAATATATGGTGCTGGGGAGAGAAGGGCAGGCAAAAGATCTGGGGGAACGCAGAGGATGCATGAATGAGATTGCCACGTTTCATTGGAGATGACCAAATATGTGTGGTTTTAATATAAACCTAAGCAGTAAGTATGTTATTTGAGTAAATATCTAGGCTACATTTTAAGACCGAAGAACAGATGACTATGATGTAAAATCTACAGTTTGGGGCCAAGGATTTGTCATGTTGCTCAACTGTTGACACCACAATGTGCAGTGGAGCCATTACTGAAAAAGAACGTAATGTAAGCCTAAAGTGCGGGCCCCACACCTCCAAGGAATAAAGCTTTAGATCCAAGGACTGCTGTAGTGTCTTAGAGACGGCATTGTTAAAACAAGGTACCAGTGACATTTAGGTAACTAAGAACTAAATATAGTTTTTCATTGTTAGCTGTGCATGCAGTGAGAACTTGTACCCTGTAACAGTTAATGAGGTGATTCTGAATAACTGTGCATCCATGTTTGTGTTATGAAAATTGAATTTCTCTCTCTCCTTCCCCAAAGGCAGAGAAGTTTGATTTAATATGGAAGAGAGCCCAGAAATGTCCATCGGTACGTATGGCAGAGACTCGCAATGCGTGGATGTATAGCTGTAACGCATTTCTCCTCTCTAAAGCCTAATTCATAAACTTTTGATCCTCCTGCATTCAGACTCATTGAATCAGCTTGATTAGTAAAATCCAGGTGTTCAAATATTTGCAGTAGTGTTCAGATAAAAGCAATGGCTATTCATATATATGAAACAGTTTGATCTAGTATCAGATATCTAGATAAAAAGAGTTGTAGGGTTTAGAAATGAGAGGACAGAATCTCCCAGGGAATGGATTTAGCTGCACGTCTCCAGTTTCCATTAATTGCTGTCTTGTGGTTAAATCGTTTCTGTGCAGTATTGTGAAGAGCCAAGCCTCACAGGCCGGTTTCACTGACATTCCTGCATAGCTTTCCTTGCTTTAACCTGGAGGAACTGTTGTTATAGCTCTGTGTCACCATTGCATTATGTTGCATGTATATGGAGAAAGCGAATTCTCTCGTCTTGTGGTTGATGTGAGTTGCTCCTCTTTCTGTTATTTTACTGGCAGCGAAGATAAGCAGGAGTATCTGAAAGGGAAAAAGGTGAGAAATCAGTATGTTGGGATCCCGTCCACAGACTGAGCTGAACCTTGCCATCTATTAGCTTGCTTTCCCAATCATAAACGTGCGTTGCCATGCTCGCTTCAGCCGCGCTGTTGATCTGTGATAAGTAAATATTGGTAAGCAAATATGAGCTGTTTGCGTGGAAGCCAAACTGGGCAGGCACGGTGTTGTATGAATAATGCATCTCTGTCTCTAGGGGAGTGTGAGCTGTCAAAAAAGACTCTACAGCACGCACTGCAAAATTGAGTCCTGTAAGTTCTGTTGCAGAACATTGTAATTCAACAGCTGGGATGGGAAGGAAAGGGGCAATTGGGTGTAGTCAAACCCTTTATTACAGATACGGAGTAAATACTCTGTGGGTTGTGTCTTAGGTGGATGCCAGCATGGCAGAGCGAAATACTGAGAACATGTAACATAGTTATTTCAGAAATGAGTGGATTCCCAAGATTTGGATTCAGTGTTTGTCATGTGGGTTGGTCAATACCTCATAAGCTTCAATTAGAAGATTCCTGTGTGAATGAGCATGTTGTTGCTTTGAAGAAGTTAAACTACAGAAGAGCAGAACAGCTAACAAGCTGAAGGATATCTTTCTGCAGTTGTGTACCACGTGCTGCTGGATTAGTATTGTTTTCTGTTGAAAGTAATGCGTTTTTACAGTAATTTGTGCACTGAAGCATGGACTTCGTGCAAACTTCACTGTGCTGAGACAGAAATGAAATGCTTGGTTCTTCTATGAAAACAGTAGCTAGACTTTGCTGTGTTGAGAGGAGTGCTTTTGTAGATCTGAATGGGAGACTTTACTGGATTGATGGATTGGTTCTGTATGTTTCACTTGCCAAGAGCAAGATCAAATAATCTGGCTTCCCGAGCTACTTGGAGCTTGGAAAATTATTTATAGCTTTAAGTGCATTTCTGTACAGTGCATTGGCATTTAGTCAGGTATCCTGCATGTTTTTCTGTTCCCATGTTGTCCTTTCTCTTGGTGTGGGAAAACGAGCAAGTCGCTGACCTATGGAGCCAGATAGACTGTAAATCTCTGGAGAGAAAATGCTTGCTGCCTGTTCTGGAACAGTTGGTGAAATTACAGGATTAGATACTCTGAATGCTCCTTCTCTTATATTTGACCATTTCTGTTGTTAATTTTCTAGAAGTGAACAAAAAGGTCAGAGTCTGAGTGTTCTCCACTGTCTTCTCCTTTGTCTGTCTAGTATGATACTGATAAAAATTATGTTCTGACGTATTTGCTCCTGAAATAATACTAATACGGTAATGCTGATTTCTTACCTGCTTTGAAGTCTGGTTCCTGCTGTCCTGTCACCCCTGGTGGGGCAAGGAAACCCTTTTTCCTGTTGTGATTCTCTTGCTAAAGCATTTATGCTGCAGGCGAGTGTGACACGGGCATCATTTTGTTGTATGAGAGGGAGAACTGTTTTTTTTTTTTTTATCATTTCTCTGCAGTTTCTGTATGCTTTGCCAAGAAAAGAAGGCTATGAGTTCTTTGTAGGGCAGTGGTCAGGAACAGAATTGCACTTCACTTCACTAATAAACATTCAGGTGAGTGGTTGAAATAAAAAGCCCAAAAATGGCTTAGAATCCAGAAATACGTAATATCAGCCTATTACAATGTGTAATATTTGGCAAATAGTTTAATGAACAGGTTGTCTAGCTTAACTTGAAAATAATTGTCAGGGAAAAACTGCCATTAATTATGAGTACTTAGTAAATTTATGGGTATTAAGTGTCTCCAATCTAAAGGACAAAGAGGTATAAGTTAAACAGTCTGAAAACAGAAGCAAGAGCCAAACTTTTCAGAACTATTTGTGCAAGCTACTTAAAATACCATTAGATGCTATGAGATTAAATGTCTTTCTGGAAATTGTGTGTTCTTTTAAATGCAAAATGGTCTTTAGTCAAGAAAAAACTCTACCTAACTCTGCAAATCCCTTGTTTTCTGTAAATACCAGGAATAATGAACTTTTAATTAAGAACTGGCCCTTAAGCCCTGAAAAATGACTGCTTCCATAGCAGTTAGTACTCAAAAGTTTTGTAATCAAGCCTCCAAATCTGCAGTAGAGCTGAAGTTCTTTATGGGATACTTATGGGACATATTTATCTCCTTCAGACGCAAGGTGAAACTGCTCCTAGCCAGTTGGTTTTGTACCATTATCCTGAGCTGCAGAAGGAAAAAGGGATAGTACTAATGACAGCAGAAATGGACTCAAAGTTCTTGGTAAGAGAAATCTATTCACTGGCTTTCTTCAGTCTTAGAAGTATTATAGTTTACTGTTGTAAAAAAATAGAAATGCTTCTGGTTTTCTAATTAATGGAAGCAAATTTAAATGAAAGCTGTTGCTACCTGCCAACAAGTTAGAACAATGAAGAGCAATAAAGCTTAATACTGCTCATCGAATCAGGAGACCTCCAGAGCTTTGTGTTAGGTTTCTGAGTACCTTTACTCTTTTCCCTCAGTGTGAGTGTGCTGTTATTTGCATATCTGCAATAGTAAGGTGCTAGGACTAATAGCACTAGGGATTACTCTGGTGGAACAAGATAACTAAAGCATCCCACCTCTGACCGACCTACTTACTCCAGTTCTGAAACTATGCGCAGCGCAGTCATTGATAATGCATTTGCCCTGTTGTATCTCAGAGTAGGCAGTCAATTTTTGCAAATAGGTCAACCGTAAGAAGGGAAAGATGAGACTTTGGTGCATCTCCAGTGCCTTGGAGTGGGCAGGGATCATGAAAGACATCTTTTGACCTCAGATGTACGCTCAGCAGGAGAGTAGTTTGTATGCACAGCGCTGAGGTGTGCAAGTAGGTCAGGAGCAGGAGGGAGGTAGTTTGTTAAGAGATTTGCAAAACTAAGGAGTTGAGTCAGTGAGTAGGACTGCAGCCTTTCAGCTGCTGAAGAGTCTTTCTCAACAGGATACTCAGATACTACAAAACCAGATGGTAACAGATTCTTTGTTTTAACTTGCAGGTGGTCCATGAAGCACAGTGCTTGGCAAATCAGGTGCAGCTTTTCTATGCAACGGATCGTTCCCAGACCTACGAATTAGTGGAGACCTTCAACCACAGATCTAGTGAATTTAAATATATGTCAGTTATAGCAGAGCTTGAGCAAAGCGGGCTTGGAAGAGAACTGAGACCTGGTCAGGTTTCTGACAAGTCGTAGAGCCTGACCTGTGGGTGAAGTGAGCCAGCAGCAGGCAGGGCGTTTCCCAGCTGGGACAGTCCTGTTTCCTTTGTTTTATGAATTTAGTTTGGCTACAGAAAGGATCTAGAGACACCTTGGGAGTGTGATAGTTCAGCCTGTCTGGCACCGATGCAAGATGAGGACTTGGGCCATTTGAACGACAATAACTAATTGCCAAAATGAAGCCCTGTACTTCAGTGTAACTTCATCAGAACGAGCCACTTCCCTGTCCTGTAACTTACTGCTGCATGCTGTATTTTTGACATCTGAAATAAAATGGCAGAAGGAGAGCTGTGTAATGGGCTATATTGACATCAGGAGAGAGAGAGAGAACTATCAATGCTTCTTAGTAAATGCATTTTAAATGCCCTCCGCCACTATAATTGTATGGTCCAGTGCTTTTTAATCTCTCTGGAATTTATGTATGCTTGTCCATCAAGAAAAGAGAGTAGGACCGATGGTCTAAAACAGACTCCTCTTTGTTACTTTGTGCGTGAGGTTCCTTGCACAGATGTATACTGTGGCCTGTGTTTTTCTCAGGATTAAAAGAGTGTGACTAGATTTATTATGGGAATTTTGTGTTTCTTAATTGATATATTAATTTTATCCTGTTGCTGGATTTTTGTCTTAGAGATGTTTTTCTTGAGGAGTAGAATGTTATAAACATGAGTTTTTTATATTTTTGAATAGTGTAGAGGAATTATTGCATGATTTATAGAATTAACTTTTCTCAAATTGGCATCTAGTCAACCAACTCTCAAATGGTATTTGAAGGGACAGAAAATTGCTCTTGTTCCCATTTCAGAAAAGCTGCTATCTCTAATAAAAGCAAGATGAAATGGCATAGTAACAGACAGCCACCAACTAGTTTCTCAGTTGCTGAGTGACAACTCCTGAAAAAATGCACTAGTAAATGCACTAGTGTGAATATGCACAGCAGCTTTAACACAGCAATGTTGGTAAGAATCTGGCTTTTACAGAATACAGCTGGTTTGTTATTTTAAACCTGCCTTTAACAAAAGAATCCCAAAGCATTCGTGCTTTGAGCTTCTCTTATTTTCATTCCCAGCAGAGGCAGCCACTGTGTCTGTGGACAAGGGCATTCTGCAGCACTGCGAAGTGATGTGCGACCGGTGCATGGATTATGAGTGTACCACGGCGGCTGCACAGGTAGACAAGTAAACGGAAGACAGCCAGGAACTTTGCAGGAGCAACGCTGAAATATTTCCCTTATCCACATCAAATCCCTGGCACTAACTTGCCCTTAGCACTAATTATCCGTTATGTCCAGGCCACATTGCTTCTTCCTGTCAGCCTGGTGAAGCTGGTAAGCTTTTCCTCCTTTGCCAAAGCAGTGGAGGCAAGAAGATTATGCAACTTCTCTCTGTTAGAAGAAGACAAATTTTGGGGGCAGGGCTGGTGACAGATATTCTGCGCTACCCTTAACCATGACCTGATATGGAGGTTTGATTAGTTATAAAGTGCTCTCGCAGTCTGTTCGCTAGTGTAGTTGTAGGACCCTGTTGCTGTGATACTGTCACTCCACGCTTTCTCGGCCCGTTCTTTGGACAGGAAGAGTGTTCAGCTAAGCACTAATGGTAGATGGTAAGGTTTTGTTGTTGGGGTCTATTTTAGCAGTGACTTGTATATGTTGGGTGTGAACTCTTCTCCATTCAGGGAATTATAAGATGGTTTTAGAAGAGGCACATCTGGAGCTTTGCTGCAGGGAGATGGTCTGGCTCCCTGGTATCGTCACCTTTTCGTTTCTGATTGCGTTGGGTCTGTCAGTGTGCACAGCAGGGTAATGATCAGAGGAGATGTGGACAGGGCTGTTATAATCTGAACAGCAAATCACCTTCATTAAAGAGCCTTTATACTTTTACAGCATTCATGCTCCATTTATCATTTTCCTTTAGCTGAAATAAGGGCAGTTTTGATTCATTATTCATTTCCTGCTTTGAAGAAGTCAAAGTTGCTGTATTCATTTTTAATGTAGCTATAATGTAACATCCCTGGATGAGTAACGGGCAACAGGAGTGAAATTCAAGGCTACACTTGAGCCTCTTTCTGAGCTTAAAAGACTGAAGTCTCTAGTAAAGGCTGTAGCAGTCACTGCCTGTAATTTTGAGTGAGGTTTGGTTTTTTTTCAACCCATCATGTGATTAAGCCCAAGCTAAGAACTTCTCCAAGGGTTTTAGACAGACAGATATGGCAAAGTCAAGCAAAGGAAACATTTCTTGCATTGCATGCGTTGGAACGGTTTTTAAATAAGACCCAAACTGGAAAGGCCAAGTTGATCATACCACCTGCAGCTGTTTCGCTAGAGACTGCATTTTCTAGCTCTGGCAGAGGTGGAATGGAATGATGAAGGGAGCAAGGGCTTTTTTTTCTGCAGGTGTATTCGTGTGCCTTGAAGTGCACACTGTAACAAGTTAACCCTTGTGTCTGGGTGAGACTGCTTGGCACAGAAATTGCTGACTTGGCATCAGTGATGTGGTGCTGTATTGCATCTCCCTGAGGAGCAGAGGAGCAAAGAGCTGGCTAGACTTGTGTGTGTGCAATGGCAGGGAGATAGTGGAGGGTTTACAAAGCTGAAAGTTGCATGCCCTCCTGGGAGGTATTCCCGGATCTGCTGCTGGGGATGGGATTTGCTGCAGTCCTGGAAAACGTTACCGCTGTGTTTTCTCCAGGAAGTCAGTCCGATGGACTGTGTCACTGAAAGCTGTTGTAAGTGGGGAAGCTTCAGACGGCTATTTCCTACTGTATTCGTGTATGATCTGTATACAGATTATAATCTGTATTCCTACAGATGATAACGTCATGTTGGAATACAGATTATAACAGCAGATGGCCCTGTAGTCCAACATGCTGCACCATGAGAGCATCTTGGTCGTGGACAACAAAGTTGGTTTAGTATTCGATGGCCCAGTTGTACAGTACAAGTTTGACACGGTGTGAATAAATTCCCTAATTTGCAAATGGAAAAGTGGAAACTCTCAGTCCTTTTGGAAACGTGCGTGCTAATGTGTAATGTGTGGGCTTGTGCCACAGTCGGGATTTGAGCAGCACAGTCTAGGATCTGGGCTGACTGCTGCTGTGGTGGTGATGAGGCTGAAACTGGGATAAAAACCTGTAATAAAAAGGTCCTAGAGAAACTCTAGGCCTGATCCTCCATCCCACTAAATCCTTGCTGTAAGGGGGAGTAACTCAGCTGAAGAATTGGCCCCAAAGCGATCCTTGCTGCAGAAATAGGCCAGGCTGTGTGGCTTCTCTGGTGCCCGGGGTGCACTTCTGCATGAACTGTGCTGCTCGGCATGTTTGTAAGACATTTTTGATGCACTTAGGATCTGTGTTGAGCCTAAGAGCTGGTGAAAACAACGCTGTTAGTCTTGGTTTGGGGAAAGAAAGTAACTGGGAGACTCCTGTGCGTACAGCCACTAGAGGGAAGGTTTGTCTCCTTATTCTGAGCTGCCAGCACACACGCAGCTTGGAGCCTGTCTGCTCAGCTTTGTGAACTCGGAGTGAGTTTTGTGCTAAAAAACATTCAGATGCCCAGGGTGCTCCTACATGGTTGAGAACGTGGTGGGCTGGACTGAGTTAGACCAAGGGTTCCCCTAGCCTGGTGTCCTAGATCCAAGATGAGCTGCCTTGGGGAGGGCAAACATCCTGCTGTAGTTCTGCAGGTCGCTTTGCTGATTTCCAGCTGTCTGTGGGCCAGGGTCTCCACAGCTGGACCAGGTGCTGCAGGAGCCACCTCCTTCCCTCAGTGCTGCATGCTGTCTGCCTCCGGCTGGAGGAGAACCCAGCGCCAGGGATGTGGCAGTGGTTCCTGCTAGGAGCGGTGGAGCAAGTTTTGCAGCCAGAGGCTCTCAGCAGTGTCTCAAAACCTGTTTTGCTCCCCAGCCC